TAACTCCAGCACATTTATAAGCAAAGCCTCAAAGAAAAGGACAGCTTAGGCACAAATTAAATTGAAATTCTTGGATGAGATGGGAAGAGTTATTAAAAAGAGTTTAAAATGTCTTTTTATAAATTAAATGAGAGCACTGGAGGGAAAAAATTGTAAAAGAAATAAAATTTATGGTAAAAAAGAAAAGGAAAGGGAACTGACAGCTTGGGACAAGAGGTACAAAGCCTTGCCCAAACAACAAACTCTTTAAAAATTAGAACAAACCAAATAGAAGCTAATGACTCAATTAGACAAGAAATATTAAAAACTAAGTCAAAAAACTAAAAAAAGAAAGAAAACAACTGATCTAGCAAAAACAGCTGATCTGGAAGATAGATTGAGGAGAAAAATCTAATCATCTAAATACCAATGAACAACCATAAGGGACTAATGGATAAACTGCTTACATTCTAATATAGAGAGATGACATATGTGTCCCTTCTGAGCCCTATTATCATCAGGGGTCATAGAGGGAGTTTATGACAAAAGACCTAGAAGGGGTTCTCTTATATCTTAATGATCTTAAAAGAAGAACAGAAATTGAAAGGAAGATGGATATTCTGGGATAATGGTAGGGTGAGGTGGCAGAGATTGAAAGGAAGGTTAGAGAAAATTTTCTTGAAAGCTTTGACCAAGAAAAAAAAAAGAACCTAAACAACATTTTTCAAGAAGTCTTAAAATTGACCAGACCTCTTAGAACTAGAGGGCAAAGTGGAAACAGAAAGAATCTACTAGTCACCTCCTGAAAGAAATCCAAAATGAAAAATCCCAATGAAAAAATTAAGATCAATTCTGCATTATTTTCTTATTGATTCTATTTACAATTAATTGACTTTGTCCTCTAACTGCTTTTGTCTGGTAAGTGCTTAAGTCATGGCTCTTTGTCTCTGAACTCAGTTCAGGGATTTAGCTGGCTTGTAATGGGTTAATTTAAAAATCCAGCTCTTCTGTGAATCACTAATCTATTCTTGCCTCAAGGAATTTAACTGACCTTGAGGATGGTGTGAATACAAAGGGAGTTGGACCTAATAATATCTTTACACCACCAAGCTATCCTTCAAAGATGTCTGGTTTGCTGTCCAAGAGGTCTAGTCCATTATCTCTAAACCTTACAGCTGTACTCAGATAATGAGTACTCCTTAGTCTCATGAGAGGGAGGGTGTTGCTAGTCCCCATTACCAAACTTCCAACTAATCATGTTGTTCCCTGTGTCTCAGCTCTGTAATCAATCATGGTGCCCCCAATCCCATGATGGCATCTACCCTGTTCTGTTCTTTGCTCTATACTCATCAAAACTTATAAAAGGGGAGCTGTCTACTTGGAGTCTTTGGCATAAATGAAGGAAATCCATTGACCCATTTATTGACAGGCAGCATGACCCTGTTAACAAACATTATTTTGTGCAAAGAATTGTTTCAGTTTACCTTCTTGTTAAATTTAAATCACTACACCAGGAACATTATAACCAAAACTCAGAGCCTCCAGGTCAAAGGAAAAATACCACAAACAAACAGAAAAGACTCAAGTACCAAGGAGCCACAATGAGGATCACATAAGATTTTGCAGCCACCACTATAGAGAAGCAGATCTTGGAATGTGATATTCCAGAAGGCATAGAATGTAGCCTTACAGCAAAGAATGATTCATCCAGCAAAACTGAGTATAATCCTATAGTGGGGGAAACGGACTTTTAATAAGATAGAAGATTTTCAAACATTCCTGATGAAATAACTAAAGCTGCATGGAAACTCTAAAGTTCAAATAAAGGAGTTGAGAGAAACACAAAAAGGTAAATACCAATGAATGTCAGGGACTACTTATGTCTTAATGATCTTAAAAGAAGAACAGAAATTGAAAGGAAGATGGATGTGAATCCTGGGGTGATGGCAGGGTGAGGTGGCAGAGATTGAAAGGAAGATTAGAGAAAATTTTCTCACATAATCAAGTGCACAAGTGGAAGTACATAATAACAAGGAGAAAGCAAGGAAGTGGCTGACACCAAACCTCACTTTGATCTGAACTGGTCAAAGGAGAGAAAACACACACAGAACTGGGTACAGAAATACATTTCACTCAACAGAGAAATAGGAGACAAAAGGAAGAAAGAAGGAAGAGGAAGAATCATAGGGAGGGTAGATTAAGAGAGGAATTAGTCCTAAGCAAAACATACTCTAGCAAAAGATTACAAAAATATTTTTAGCTCTTTTTGCAGTAACAAAATGGGAATTGGTGGGGATGTTTATCAATTGGGGAACTGCTGAACAATTATAAAGGAATATTATTGTGCTGAAAAAAAATGATAGAGATGGTCTCAGAGGAAAACTAGGAAGACTTACATGAACTAACGTAGTTAAGTGAACTGAACCAGGAGAACAATTTATACAGTGAGAACAATATTGTTAAGACAAATAACTCTGAAAGACTTAAGAATTCTGATCAGCATAATGATCAATCACAATTCTAGAGAACTAATGATGAAAAGTGCTGCTAATCTCCTGATAGGTGAAAGACTCAAAGTGCAGAACAAGGGGTCCTTTTTGAAGTATATTTTGCTTAATTATACTTATTTGTAACAGCCAATAAACATTTATTAATTACCAACCAGTGCCAGGCACTGTGCTAAGTACTGCAGATACAAAGGCAATTAAAAGACAGTCCCTGCTTTCAAGGAGCTAATGGTCTAACAGGAGAGACAGCATGAAAACAACTATGTACAAACAAGCTATATACAGCATGAAATGGAAATAATCATCAGAGGGAAGGCATTAGAATCAAGGGGGATTTCCGACCTCAGACACATAATACTTTCTAGCTGTGTGATTCTGGGCAAGTCACTTAACCCCAATAGCCTCACAAAAAAAAAAAGAAGAGAAAGAAAGAAAGAAAAGAAAAGAAAAAAAGAATTAAGGGGGATTGAGAAAAGCCTCCTATAAAAGATGGGACTTGAAGGAAGCCAGAGAAGCAGGAGGCAGAGATGAGGAGGTAGAGGGTTTCAGACATCGGGAAGAGCCAATGAAAATTCCCAGGGGCAGCTAGGTGGCACAGTGAATAGAGCTCCAGCCTTGAAGTCAGGAGGACCTGAGTTCAAATCCAACTTCAAACACTTGACACTAGCTGTGGGACTCTGGGCAAGTCACTTAACCCCGACTGCCTCACCAAAAAGAAAAAAAAATTCCCAGTGTTTAGAGGTAGAGTATCTTGCTCAAGTAATAGCAAGGAGGCCAGTGTCATTGGATAGAATACATGGGGATGAAGGTATAAAATATAAGACTGGAAAGATATAAAGGGGACAGAATATAGGTTTTAAAAGCCAAACAGACTTTATATTTGATCTGAAAGGACAAAATTTGTTTAACGCATCTTATTTCCCATCTCTTAGCACAGTGCTTTGAATAGAAGGGCCCAATAAATGTCGATTATGAAATAATCCTTTACTAGGAGACAGGAGACTTGGCTTTTGATCTCAACTTTTCCACTTGTGTGAACTTGACAATTCATTTGGCTTCTCTGCACCTTAATTTCCCCATCTGTAATGGGACCCTTCTAGTACTAACACTGTATATGGCTCTCTACTTCCTTCAAACTTCCAAAACACTTTACACCACTTGTATAAGACTAATTACAAGCTACTTTCTGTTATGCCTATGTGTAAGGTGCCATCCACCCTCCAAATCTCCCTTTTGAATTCTGGAATCTCAGAATTGGAAAGGCTTTCAGAGGCTATCTGATCCAACTTGAACCTATAATTCTAAAGCTCAGTTCAATAATTATGAGAGTTATAGGCACATCCACTAAGTCCATTGGAAATCTAATTTTCTCCAAGTTTGACTAATTAAACTTTTTGAAAGATCAGACTATAAAAACTATTACTATTTTTACGTAACTAGGGTTTTTTTCCCTCCCACTTTTAAAGATAAGAATTTCATAGCTCAGGTTTAATAGCTTCCAGTGTCCAGTCCCTTTTTCCCTCCTCCCTGATTGAGTCAAGCCCATGGAACCTTGGGGTAGGCCTACTTCTAGGCATCAATGATGGAGGGGCCCTTCCCATCAACCTCAACTTCTGAAAAGGCATATATTGCTTCCTGTTGGACACAATAACTCAAGGGGTCATACTGTGTGGCGACAAAAAGTCTTTCTATTGGCAGTTGAACCTGACATCTGTGGATGTAGTAGAGTGAGAACTTCTGCCCCACCAACCTTTTCTTTACAGCCTTGAAGTGTAAGGATAACTCTAATTCCAACACCTGGCCACAAGCTGTGAACTTATGGCCTCCTGAGCAAACCTGCTTATTCCAGGGGGGTTACAAGGCTGGGTAAGATCTTAAAAGATATATGGCATCTTCCTCATCTTGAGTACCCAAGCAGCAGGGCAACAATACCAGAGGAGTTGCAACAGCAGCAGAAGCAGGCAGGCTAAAAGGTTAAGGAGCTCATTTGGTGTTAATCAGACTTGGCTCAGGAGAGGTGAAGTGTAAAATGGCTAATTAGCATCCCTCACAAAATGTTTGGGAATGTCCCAATAAGGCTCCAATATTAGCCTCTCAACTATACTAGTAGTAATAAGTTACCAGGTTCTGTTCTAATCATTTTATGAGTCCTTATTGTTTAGTATTCCCGTTTTCTATGTGAGAATAAAATTATCTATCCCATACTTGATTCATGTTTGTACTTTGGGCACTTTTTACTTCCCTCCACCCCTCTTGCTGGGATGAACCCTTAAACTAAACCCAGAACCGGAATTGTTCCTTGGGAATTTAAGTGGGGGTGGGGGGCGGAATTGAAGCACTGGGGAGTCTAGTTTCCCTGTTGAAGAGACAGGCAACCTCAGAGCAATAAACCCAGGGCAAACTGCAAGGGTGGTAAAGGACAGAAATTGACAAAAGCTACCAACCCCAGTGGCCTCAGCCCAGTAGTATCTGGCTAACCACTGTGCTAGAACAGCAAAAATGTACCCAAAGCTATAGTTTTTGCTATGTTTTTATTATAACACATCATTACTGTCCCAAACATATCATTTTTTGTGGTCACCCCTCAAGGTAGTATATTGTAAGGCCCCACTCAGCACTAGAACGAACAACTTTTCAGGAGCAGAGAAGAGAAGAACCCTGGCCCTTCCACTGAGAACTTGGCCTCAGGTCTTTTCCAGAAGTAGATCTAAGGTCCTATGATCCAATGGACCTTTTAATCATAGCTCTCAGAGTCACAAATCTCTGCTATGAGGTTAAAAAAAAAAACCAAAAAAACCATTTCTCTATACCAGGAGGACACAACAGACAGGTGCTTAGGGAGTCCAATTAGTGACAAAGTTGCATTTGAGATCCCCACAAGGGAGTTTGAGGAGATGAAAGAAATATCTACAGCAGGATTCTGGGTATCTCACTTCCGATGGTACCTGAGAAGTAAGGCTTTCTTTTCCTAGGAGGGGACAAACTCTACTTTACAAATGCCCAAATTAAGCCCTGTAAGAAGAAAGGAAAAAAGAAAGAAAATCACATTCACATAAAGAAAGTTTAACTCCATTGCCTTCCCAACTCTCCCAGTGAAGTGTGCCATCTTAATGAGAGAGGAAGCTATGGAAATTCTTATAGTAACTTGACCTGGAAATTTAGCTAACTCAGAAAGGGAAATGAGTAATGTGTCAATACTAGCAGCCCTCCCCATGGCTATTTTATTCTACTTCTCAACTCATTGGGCTTCATGGCCTGCCCTTCTAATCCCCATCTAAAACATAGATTCTCTTGGGCAAGGAGGTCAGCAGAATTATGGCTTTAATGCAATTGGAGAGAAGCTTCATGGCCCCAAATAAAAGGCAGGAGGGAGAGGGGATATGACCAGCCAGTTTTCCTTTTACTGCTTTCCAAATCTCAAATTTCCAAAGAGCTAGGGCTATGAAACTTTATGAGGAACCATTGCTCAAGCGGAAGTTAAAGTGTAACATTTTTTTCAGCTGAGATTCCAGTCCTCTCCTACAAAGGTCTCCCACAGCTTATGAAACATGACCAACTAGGAAAACACTGCTTTTCTTCTCTTCCTGGTCTCCCCACAAGGATAGAAAGAGGTGAGAGAGAACAAAAGGAATTGCTTGCAAGATGGCCTGCCAAAGCCTTACAACCAATAGCTAACACCTCCCAATATTGAAAGAGGATACTATATAAAGTGATTGCTCAACTGGGAGGCAGTTTTCTTTAAAAATCTGAAGTTCAACATTGAAGATACTGTAGCAAGACAAATAACCATTCCCTCCACAATCCACCTGGTATTCCCAAACACAAAAGCTAGGGCAGGAGAGTTCTGAACTTGGGGTCTGTGTACTTTTTTTTTTTAAGATTTTGATAACTGTATTTCTATATAACTGATTTTTTTGGTAATGCTAATTATTTCATTTTATGTATTTAAAAGCATTTTGAAAGGGAGTTCATAGACTCTACCAGCCTGACAAAGGGATGTATTGCACAAAAAAAAAAAAAAACCGTTCTAGGGCAAGTGCAGGGTTTCAGGTCTTCTGTAGGCTGATTATTGTTATTTTAGGTCTGAGACCCCTGGTGTCATCTGGGCTCATCCTGAACTCCTCATGGCCACCTATGTTTATTATTAGTTCTGGATCCTTTAAGCTTGGAAAATAATGTGTCGCAACTAGCAGTAGAAGAGTTCACATACTCAAGTTCCTTCTTGAAAATTGGAGTAAATATTGAGAACATGGAATTAAAATATAAATTACTTTAGGGAAAGTTTAACTCAAAGTTAGCATGGTACAGAGGTGTCAAACTCACTACCTGAGACATAGCCCTGCAAACACCCAAGACCAGCCGAAACCAGGTTAAAATGTGAGTGGGAAACGTCTAACAAAATAAATAAAAATACAACACAACATGCTGTTAATGGGTGGTTTTCTAAGTCAATATGCAGGCTACAAAGATCCATTTCTTCTTGTTTGACACCACTGGAATAGTGGATCAAGACTTTGTATGACTTTGAATCAGAAAGACTTAAGGGATCCCTCAGACATTCTGAGTAAGTCACTCTTCCTCTCTGTACCTCTATTTCCTCATTTATTAAATGAGGCAGTTGGGTTCCACAGCCTCTAAGGTCCCTTCCAGCTCTATGATCCTATGATCTAGCAGGTAACTCCCTGGCATAAAGAATTTAATCAACAAATCCTATCAACAAGAGAGAAATTCAACAGACTCCTCAAGATCCAGAAAGACTTGCTTCTGCTCTGGTTTTATGATCCTTTCATAACATATGAGCTGAGAGGAAGAGTAGGAAATGAGTAGTAAAGAGGTATGAAATATACAATCAGACTAAACAGTGGTGAAAACACTAAGGGTAATGAGAGTAGAATAAGATATTCAACCCCAAAGCCCCTCAAAGAATACCAGTAAAGGATACACAGAAAATGTGTCTCCTTTAACAGATAAGAATTAAATCAAACTCTTACAACAGCAGACTCTTAGGTTTTCTCTACCTTAAGGTGAAGTCAGAAGAGTAAGTGGTATCCTATTGGTAGAATTGTAAATTGGTCTGAACTTTTGGAAAGCAATTTAGAATTGTTTAAAAAGTGACCAAAATATCCATACCCTTTGACCTAGAGGTCCCACTGCTATGCATTTATACAAGGTGATCATTAAAAATGCCCCAAATACATGAAAATACAGCTTTAATATCACCCTTTATAGTAGCAAAGAACTGGAAAGAAAAGTAGATGCCCATCATTGGAAAATATATACACAAGTTGTGTTACATGGATGCAATAGAATATTACTTGCTATAAGGAATAATAAATATGAACAATATAGAGAAGCATGGGAAAACATATTAACTGATGCAAAATAAGCAGAACTAAGAAAACAATATACCAAATTGCAACAAATGGGACAGCAATACAACAAATTGAAATTATGTCTGTGACGTGAGAATGCACCTTCCTCCCTTCTTTGCAGAGGCAGGGGACTATGAGCATGAAACTCCATGTACGTTTAGAGGCAACACAGTGTGGTAAACAGAGTGCTAGAGTCGAAGCCAGGAAGACCTGGGTTCAAATCCTGCTTGACGCTAGCTATGTGACCATACACAAACCACTTATAATCTCTCTAAGCCTCATCTGTAAAATTAGTCGGTTGGAGCCAAGGACCTATACAGTTATTTCCAGCTTTAAATCTATGATCCTATTTTGGACTTGGTTGATCAGTTGGCTAGTTTGGCTAAATGATTTTTCATTTCCTCCTTTTTACATTGTTATAAGAGATAGCTCCCTGAAAGGAAGAACAAGGGATAAAGTAGAAAATGTAGGTGATGTAAAATCAAAGTAACAATAATTTTTTTTAAGACTAGTTGAGCTCTTGACTAGAAAGCTAGACTATTATCAGGCTAGAAGTTAGACTCTGAGGACAGTAAAAGTGGGCTGAGCCCAGTTAATGCTCTTGCTGGCAGTCCTCCCCACTTTTCTTTTGGGTACACTGTCATACCTGTGAAATGTCTCTCATTCTCTTTTTCCTTTGGTTCCCTGGATTTCCCAAGAATTTCAAAGTATCCAAATCACTTTTCTCCAAGAATGCTTGACTGTGACCCCAGAAAGGCATCTTTATCGGATCTTCTGAATTACTGTTGTGTTAGTGGGTTTTTTCCATAATTTATTAAAGCTAATTCTCCATACAAGGGATTTAACTGGCTATGGGAATCACTCATTGTTGATGAACAAAGATTTAAATATTAGTCTTTAAGCTTAAAAGAACATACTTTTAATCCTGTGTGCTACAGACATAGCACCTTCTCCCTCCCCTCAACATCTGCTTTTTAAAACCTGTGAGAGTGCTAGGTAAACTCTTGGCAAGGTCCAAAAATCCCAAGTTCACAAGACTCTTGGACTGCATAAGCAAAATATGCACCTAGTGAAGGAATCCTGTGAACACCATTCCTATTCCAGACTTGTCTCATGCCCCAGGGGATTGGGCCAAAATCCCACCTGCCTCTGGAAATGAAGGAACAAATCACTGTTTTATTAATCATATTAATTAATAATTAATCATAATAATACACATTAATTATATTATTATTGTCATATTAAAAGCACCAGTGGTACTGGATTACCTTTCCAATGGAATTAATTTATTATCTACTCAGAAACTAAACTGTCTCTGGGAACTTGCAAAGGATAACAAAACATTTTATTTTAGAAAGTTTCAATATTCTCCAAACTTTGGTGCTCAATCTCAAACCCCTGAGCAGAGGTTGCTATTACAGTAATACCATAAGCACTGCCACAGGGCCCAGAAGCATCTGGCAGACACCATCCCAGCCCAGTATGGGAAAGACAGAAATGATACTAGTAAGAGAAGAGGTTATAGTATCAGAACTGACCCGAGGATAAAAAAAGGAAAGGACCAAAAGTTTTATCTCTTGCCAGAAGGCCACCAGCTACTACTGGTTGGGAGTTTCATAATCACTTCTTTCTCCTCTGGACTGAAATGCAAGATAGTCAATATGGCTGTAAGTGTCTGCTGGCGGCCCAAAGAGTCAGACAGGGTTAAGAAGCGATAGATTATATTTTTTAAGTACTCCAGATTGGCCCCCTCCCTGCTTTGGTCCCTGATACTTTTTTCAATGTGGCTCTGTAGAGCACAGACTTGTTCTCGGTGCTGTTCACCCTCCACAATCAGCCTGTCCTGAAGCTGGTGTACCTCCACCTCAAGCTTATGCTTTTGTTTCCTCAGAGATGTTATCTCAACCTCCTTGCGAGCCAGCTGTTCAGCATACAAGAAGAAAGTGGGTTCATTTGACGCAGCCAGGTGCAGAGCTTGGGTCAAACTGTCTGGAGATGAGTCACTTAGACCTCCATTATGCCCCTGGCTCACTGAGGCCTTATGCCCCTGCAGCCCAGAGCACAAAGCCACAGATCGGAGCTGCTCTAGTTCCAAGTCCTTCTCGGCAAGCACTGCTAAAGCACGGTCCCTCTGTTTGTGCAGCTCTTCTTCAAGCTTCAGTGTCCGGTCCCGGAAATCAAGCTGGCTTCTCTCCAGCTCCTGCCGATGGACCTGCTGCAGCTGAGCCAACTCCTGCTTCCAGCTCTCTGCCTCTTGTTGGTGTTGCCTTTCTAGCTCTTCACAGGACAGCCGAAGGGAAATGTACTTCTCCTTCAGCTCTCCAAGCTGCTCCTGGCTTTCCTCCAGTTCCTTGGCTAGGTTGCCATCCTTGCTTGTCTTGCTCTTGAGGACGACCTGGGCCCTCATTTTGTACCTTTCAAACTCCTCTTTCAGCTGCTTGAGCTCTTGCTGGTAGTAGAGTGCAGTAGCCTTTTCCCCATCAGCAGCATCTGAGTTTGTCAGCATCTCTATTTCACACAGTTTTTCCATATTCAGAGATACCTGGCTCTTCCTGGCTGCAATCTGCAACAGCCTCCTCAGTTTCTCCATCTTATCCTTTAGGACATTGACATCCAGGCTGGTCTCCTCATTGTGGCTGTCCAGGGGAGAACGACTAGAGGCTGCAAGAGCTAGTGTCTTATTCTCCATATCCAGCTGCAGAAGGCGATCCTTCAGCTTCTGAATGGCCAGCTGGTCCTTTTGCTTGGCTTTCTCATAAGTGCCCAACAGCTCAGACACTTCTGAGACTTGGTTCTCTAGGGCAGCCACCCTCTGTTCCTCCATCTGAGAATACTGACGGAGCTGTTCCTCGGCCAAAGCAGTCTAAAAACCAAGGAAATAAACAAAGATGAATTAGGAGAGAGCGCAGAGCTTGTCACTGAATCTAGGAAAGGCAGAGAAGAGAGGGGGCATTTGAACAGTATGTGCTGGCAGGAATGGAAAGAACTTTAGAGAACTTTTTCACTGATTCAAGTCCCAATAAAACTTTCTATTATCTACTCCCATTCTACAACCCTGCCCTTACCCCTTGAAGACTCAGAATTTATCTGACCAAATAATATTAAGCTCATTTTATGTGACTTGACAAAAATCACATGGGTGCCAATACCATTACTAGATCAAGTCAAAACAAATGCACTACAATTACTCCCTGAGAAGCATCAACTTCAGCTGAAGAAGTTCAAAGTGAATCCTTCTCCATGAATCCTTCCCTGATCCACCCAGCTTGAAATTTTCTCTCCCTCCTCAAATTTTCCTATAACACTTTATCTAGATCTCTCCTTTGCCCTTCTCAAACACTATCTTGTATATTATACTTATCTGTGTACATGTACTGTTTCTTCCTGCCACCTCCTTCCCAGTAGAATATAAGTTCCTTGAGGCCTGGAATGTTTTTTTTTCCCTTTTATAATCTCATTGCCTGGCACAGTGCCTTAGCTCATGATAGGCAAGTAATGTTTGTTAAGAGCTCATGAACATAGTGCTAATCTGCTTTTAGTTCCTACATTTTTGTCACACATCTAGCATATTATGTCTATCACTCTTAATCCATTGTTTATCCCCAGAAACTCCATGCTACTGCATGCCACCCTTGACTAGAAAGTTCAGAACAGGAGCCCTCATAAAATCCAAAAGAGTATTCTGGGATAGCATATTCATCTCCAAAACAAATTCTAATTGACAACAATTGAAGGAAACTGACTCCTTCTGAAAAAAAATCAACCACACACACAGAATACAGTAACTTCACTGTTTTCCTGAACACAGCTGTTAAGAAACCAATGCCCAGAATCTGGCAGCACTCCAACTTCATTCCAGACAGCACCGACAAACATCACATCCCCTTGGAAGTATGCTCTGTAATTTTTGTAAACATCAATTAGACCAGGATTTTCCAGTAGATTTGTCCATGAGAAATTTTGGGTAAGTACCACAAGAATATAGGAAATGAAAGCATGAAGAGACCTTGGAGATAACTTTCCTCCAAACCTCTCACTTTGCAGAAGAGAATACAAGTTCTTAAAAGATAAAACAACTTGCCTAAAGGTACAATACTGATATACAGCACAGTGAGGATTTGAACTCTCATTACAAATTTAGTGCTTCTTTCAATTACAGTAGACTGTTTAAAAAGAAGAAAAAGTCTAATATTCTTAGTCTCATATTAAGTACCTATGGATCTGAATCAGAAAAGGTGAATTACCTTCCTCATTTCCTGCTGCAACTGGGTCTGGAAATGGCTCTTAAGGTGGGCAGCTTCCTCCTGAAGTTCTTCCAGCCGAGGGTCTGGATGACTCTTCTCTTCTCGAAGAGCCTGCAGTTCACGCTTCAGGTCCTCCACTTCATGGGTCAACTGTTTGATCTGTAACTCAAACCCTTCCACCTGGTCAGCTGAATAGGCCTGTCCAGCCAGGGCTTCCCGGGTCTCCTCTAGCTGCAGTTCAATATCCTGCCTTAAGGTTCTCTCTCCTTGTAGTAATTTCTGCAGCTCCCTCAGCATCAAAGCATGATCACTCTGCTCCTGGGCTCTGTCATGCTGCTGTGTGATCAACCTGGCTTTAGTCTCTGCCATCTGCTCCTGCAGCCCTTTTAGCTCCCCCTCCAGCCGGCTCCTTTCTTCCTCAGCCTTTCTGCTAGCATCCTCCAAATCTTGTTTCATCTTCTTTTTATCAGCCTGGTATGAAGCTTCCATGCGAGACTTCTCTTGAGTCACTGTGGCCAAAGAGCTGGTCAGAGTGGCCAACTGAGTCTTCAGTTGGTGCAACCGTTTGTCAATTTCCCCCCCACCACTGGTTGGCACATCCCCACTACTGGAACTAATGCCACTCTCGGACCCACTGGCTTCCTCAGACTTCGGAGGTGGCGGACCAGTGGCCAGTCTTTCCTCTTCCACCCCGAGATCACCCTTGGTGCTGGTCAGACTGGCTGTTGTGTCCAGGCTGGTAGCAGTGCCAGTGCTGTCCTCACTATGAGTGGAGCACCGGTCATCAACAGCGTCGGCCAAGGGAAGACCTGGGGACTGGCCGGCATCGTCCGCCTCATGGGACGCGGAGAGCACCTTGAGGCTGGCCTCCAGGGCTTCTTTCTCTTTCAGCAAGCTCTTATACGCCCGAACGACGTCCTTGAGGCGGACCTGGTACTGGAGCAACTGTTTCTTCTGCGTCTCTATGGTCTCCAGCAGGTCCTTCTTGCTAGGCCCCCCGCCGAAGTTCATGCCAAACTTCTCCATGGCAGGGGCTGCTCCGTGACGTCACCGCTCCCGGAGCCGGGCAGGGGGAAGGGGCTGAGGTGAGGGGTCCGATCTTACGCGCGCTCCCGCTCAGCTGTCGCCGCTGGCAACGCCGCCATGTCAGGCGCTTTCCTGGCTCTGGCCCCCCCGAGGGCTGGCGGGGCGACTGCCGCGTTCCTCGCTCCCTTTGCCCCCTACGCAGGACAGACCTGTTCCTGCTCCGAACCCAACTCAGTAACCACTTCAGACAGTTGCCAACAACGCTTCCGGGTCTTCCGGAAGTGCAGGTGGCATTCGGGATAGGCGTGCGCTCGGGGAGGGGAGGTGGGACGTAAGCGAAAGGGGTGGGTCGTAGTGAGAGGGGCGGGACCTCTGGAGCACTAAGGGGAGGGGCCTTGAGCACAAACTGCTGCAGTTGCTTCTTGGCCCTATTGGGAGCTGCTTGCTTCCTGGGGTCTGTGCTGGTCTGGGTATCCGATGCAATGGAGGGACTGAGCCTTGGGGAAATGCATAAAGAGACCTGTATGCATGACTGAAGCGCAGAGATTGGAGGCGACCCCCTGCCAAGCGCATGACCACCAGTTCTTCACCTCTTTTGTTTTTTGGACCCCTTAAAGCACTATATAAATGATATTATTTATTAAAATGTTTGAAGGAGAACCCTGCCCCCATGGGGAGTAGGGGAGGGAAATACTAAGGGCGGTTCTCCATACCTTTGCTAAGTGACCCCGAGCAAATCACTTAAAATGGGGATAATAGCATCTACCTCACAGGGTTGTTGTGAGGATCAAATGAGAAATTTGTAATGCCTTTGCAAACCTTAAAGCACTATACAAATACTTATTATTATTATTATTATGATTTTCACCAGTCCAGAAGATCCAGAAAGCTGCAGCCATTATGGTCAGCTGGCTCTTGAGAGTTGTTTGCTCTAAATTTGCAAATTGGCCTTCTGCAGATCTCCAGTGTCACTCAATTCAACAGGCGGTTGTTGATACAGACCTCTACTCTTTCACTGTGTAGTGGAAGTGAATTCTGAATTTGTGAGTCTAAGGCCTAAATTCAAATCTCTCCCCTGATATCTTTCTACCTGTGTAATCTTGGGCAAGTCACTTTATTGCTCTTGATCAAAAAAGTGTCCTCAGTTTTCAAATGAGAGGATTAGATGATCACTTAGGCCCTTTCCGACTCAAAAGGCCCATAGTTGAGGCAGCTACACAGCACAGTAGATAGAGCACCCTCCCAGGAGTCAAGGAGGACCTGAGTTCAAATTCAGCCTCAAATATTTACTAGCTGTGTGACCCTGGGCATATCACTTAACCCCACTGTCTCCAAAAGAAAAAAGGCCTATTGTTTGGGGTGTCTTTGTATAACTAGAGAGTGGAAAAATAGTAAAGCTGGGTATTGTATCTGGACTTGAATATGCTTTCTCCCTCTAGATTATGATCTAAAATTTACATTTTACTTTCCCTCTACCCTGCCAGTCAATTTAATTCAAGCATTCAATTACCATGTGCCTAGTCCTGGGTTAGAGGCTGTCAGAGATACAAAGTATAAGAGGAAATTTCTGCTTTAAAGAGATATATTCTTACTCTACCCTGCTTCTTACTTACATGGGAGGGGCAGGGAATTGAAGTAAACCACACTAGGGTTCCCTAGAATTAATGCCCTTGATAAAACCCAGCTCCTCGAAAGCAGGGACTGTCTTGCTTGTATTCGTAACCCCAGCACTTAGCACAGTGCCTGGAATATTTTAAAGCACTTGATACATACTTCATCTGTTTATTATCTTTAGTGTTTATTGTAGAACAGTTGTGATACCTGGAAGTAAGGGCAGAGTCCATAGATGCATTCCTTACTTTGCAGCGGAAGCAAGAGTTTGTTAACGTGGTTTAAAGCACATAATACTTCTGTTTATTCATTAGTATTTATTGTAGGTCAGGAATGATACTTGGAAATAGGGGCAGTGTCCATAGATTCACTCCTTACTTTGCAGTGGCTCTGGGGAAGAATGGAAACAAGAGGTTAAAGAGTAAGAAACACTTGAGTGCTCTGGCAGGCATGGGGAAGAGAAGTTGCATCTGTTACAAGTGATCCTGACGATGGGAAGTGAGATGGGCTCTGAGGCTATATTCTGGAGAGGCAGGGAATTTGGTTATTACCCCAACTCCTTTCTCCTACTTGGCACAAACACACAAACATACACACAGAGTCCCAGGTAGAGTGTTCCAGAATGCGGGGAGGTTCTTCCTGAACCTTCTTTTCGTGTTTCAGTTTTTCCTGGTGGAAAGAAGTGATTTGGGTCAGAAGGCAAGGGTTCGCACACCATCTCTGCTATTTACCATCCAGGTGACTTACAGAAAATCCCTTCCCCTCCTGGCCTCAGTTTTCTCATCTGAAAAAAAGGAGCCTCTAAGCCCTTTAAGGAGCGCGGAATGGAGGCGGGGCCCTGAATGGGGGGCGGAGCTCTACAGTGACGTCACGCTGGTCCTGTAAGCGCGGAGGCGGCTCTGGTTCCTGCCGCCGCTGCTCTTCATCCCCCCAGCAACCTGCCGGCTCCCGGCTCCCCGCTCCTCCCTCCCCGGCCCAGCCATGGGCCTCACGGTGTCCGCGCTCTTCTCGCGGATCTTCGGGAAGAAGCAGATGCGGATTCTCATGGGTGAGGTCCCGGGCAGCGTCACACCCCCGGCTTGCCTCCCTGCCCACGGTGTAACGCCCTCCACCGCCCCCGCAGCATCCCCGCCCTGCCTCCACCGCCCCCGCAGCATCCCTGCCCAGCCCTGCTCTGCCTTGCTGTACGCCTAGCCCCGGCCTCCCCTTCCTTTCCCGGGGGCAAGAGCTGGGGGGATGGGGGTGGGGTGGGGGTGAGGGGGTGGTCTGGAGAGAGAGAAGGAGATGAGGGAAACTGAGGCACGGGGTGGCGGGTGAGGGAGGAGAGGGAAAAGGGATCCCCGGCGTTCGGACCCCGCTGCTTGGCGGCGGCGGGCGGGGGGCGGGGTTGGGTACAGGAGGTATGGCCTGCCGCCCAGCCGGCCCTGCCTGCAGCCTCCTCCGCTTTGCAGCAGCAGCAACCCGAGCCTGCCGGCGCCCAGGCCCTGGAACCTGCTGGCCTGTGCGGGGTTAACCCACGGGCAGGCCGCCCGCCCCCACGCGAGGCTCTTAGACGTGGCTGGAATGTCTCTTTGGAGAGACTCCTTCCAGGAGAGACAACCCCCCGTCGCTATGAGTGCCCCTACTTCATCCCCTGGGTTCTTTCCTTTAATCTGCAGGCCTTCTTTGGGTGGGGTTTTTTGTTTGGCCCTGGGTGTGTGTTTTTCTATCGAGGGGAAGAGAAATGGCTTGTGATGCCCAGGCTTCTTTCTGACGCCCCTAAACATAGCTCCAAGGAGTGGGACGTGCAAGTTGAAGCTTTCCCATTGCATTTTTCCCGTTGAGCTCTTGACCGTTCCTGAACCCTCTCCCTCCCCACCTCATTCAGAGCTTCTCGGGTACCTCGTATCCATTGCTCTGCCTCTCTGTTGCAGTCGGCTTGGATGCCGCAGGCAAGACCACAATCCTCTACAAACTGAAACTGGGCGAGATTGTCACTACTATCCCCACCATAGGTGAGCTCCTGGGAAGGAGGGGAGGCTTGGTTTCAGGATCTGCTCCGCGGTAATCTGTGAGAGTCCCCTGTATTTCCTCTCTGGGGCCTGACCCTGACACTAGATACGGCTGCTTTGAGAAAGTAGGTCATGGTGTCTTTGGCTGATGGTGCCAGGATGTAGAAGTAGCCCCGGGCCTTGCCGTGTTAATTCTTTTAAGTCTGAATGATGTACTTCTGGGGACTCCCAGAAGTTCTCCTGTCCATGCTGATCTCCTGTCACTTTTGTGGAGTTGAATGTACCTGCCCACATTACAGCACCCCTCCTCCCCCCCAGGCTTCCCCCCCTTTTCCCTTTCCTCACAGGCTTCAACGTGGAGACAGTGGAATATAAGAACATTTGTTTCACCGTCTGGGATGTGGGAGGCCAGGACAAGATTCGGCCTCTCTGGAGACACTACTTCCAAAACACTCAGGTGGGCCAGAGAGTTGGGGTCTAGGATCTCATACCACTGTCTGTCCAGCCAGGCACAAATGTCGCTAAATAGCCACTCCCCTGCCTTAAAATTTCCTATGGTTTCCCATTGCCTACAAAATAAAACTCATGCCTCTGTCTGGTATCTATTAAGCATAAATAAATAAAATAACCCTTTGCCCTCAAGGAATTTTTATTCTACTTCCTAGCCATTTTTCAGCTACTCCCTTTTTTATTCTAGCTACCTTGACCTATTCTGTTTCTTGAACAAGCTTTTCTGCCTCCATGCTTCTGTTCACCATTCCCTCTCCTAGAATATTCCTATCTTTCACCCTTCTCCCCCACTCCAATCTTCTCCCACCTGTTGAAATTCTGTTAATAATACTCCAAGGTCCCACCCAAATACCACTTCCTTCTCTATGAAGCTTTCTCTGGTCTCTTCAGTCAGAAGCAGTTTTTCCTTTCATGTTCCCGTAGCTTTTGCTTCTATCAGTTCTAAATGGCCCTCATGAAATTCTTCCTCATACAATATTGGTATACATATACTTTTACATTAATAAGTGTTTTCAGAGTAGAGAATATATACTTTTTCCCTCACAGTGCCTTGCATATAATAGATGCTCAAAAGATGTTTTGGGTTTGGGAGTTAGGATTTTTGGTTTTGTTTCCTTTTTTGAATGAAAAGCAGTTGAGTCCATTGATGGATGAAAGTGGAGTTATAGAAAAGGGAAGGAAAGGGATGGAGAAGATAGAACTATGGTTCATTTTCTTTGGCTGGGCTAACTGCTCTTTCTTCCCACCCTAGGGTCTTATCTTTGTAGTGGATAGCAATGACCGAGAACGGGTCCAAGAATCTGCTGATGAGCTTCAGAAGATGGTGAGTACCAGATGGGCTATGGAAAACATTGGACAATGAGCCCTCTCTCATGAGTCAGAAATAGCCGAGACAGTGGAAACACAGACTAGGTTACAGCCTAGGCCAGTAGATCTGAGTCGTTTTTTGGATGTAAAATCTCAGGTGTTAATTCACTCTGGGTAAAGAAAAATAGAGAAGCTTTGCCCCTTATGTTATGGGATGAAGCAGGTAAAATAGACTTTCTTTTTATCCTTTAGTCATGTTTATGTGGGATGTTGGCCGAGGTGGGGAGAAGAGATAGGTTGTACAGAAATAGGTACATTGTATCTTTCAATATGTTGAAGTAGGTTTCTATCCTATTTACCAAGAACAGGTATG